GTCTGGCCTCCAGAACGGAGAGCAGCTTGGAGCGCCAAGAGAGTAGTGAGGCTGCTGTAGAGAGAGGCACGAGTGGAGACCGTCAGTCTGGATGGTGACAGAGATGGAGAAACATGGGCATATCTGCTTGAGAGTGCATGTCAGTAGCACTTAGAATGAAAGGAGAGGGCAGCAATGGAACAGAAACCTGCCACGTTGGGGTTGGTGGTGCCACTGGAGATCTGTGTTGTCAGTAGCATGGCAGGTGCTATATCCAGGTGGGGTGGCTCACCCTGTGGAGGCCTACCTGCTGAAAGGATGGAATGGTATCCTGGGGTGATGCAATCAGAAATGCTGGGTGGTTGGGATTTCCCACACCTTTCTGTGAAGTGCTACGGTGCCATGCTCTCAGACCTGGCCCCTCTCATGAAGCTGGCTGTGCATGCTGAGTAACTCCAGACCCATCGTCACTTGGGGGAGGCTATGTTGGGGTTCTGGTGGGTGTGGGAAGGCTGTGCCTCTTCCAGGACATCCAGCCAAGCCCCCTGCCCAGCTGGCTAGGCCTTGTGTCCCCAGCACTACAGACGTTCCCACACTTGTGGGCTTGCTGCCTTGGCCTGAGACTACCACTTCTCAGTGGGAGCCAAAACAGCACAAGGCCCTGACAAGGAAAATGCTGTGTGCTGGCTGTGCTTGGTGAGAGGCTGGGAAGGTGCTGCCGCACGTCCAGAAAAGAGCCCTAGGGGCCATGGCCACAAGGTCTGTGCTGCACAAGCCCAGAACCAGCTTCTTCAGGGCAGGTAGGCTGTGGCCACCCAGGCTGAAGCTCCTTATGAGCCAGCCTCCCAGACATGGTCCTCCCAGCTTCTCTCTGCCCGCAGGTCTTCCAACTTGCGGCTCACCTGGTGTACTGGGGCAAGGCCATCATCATCTACCCGCTGTGTGAGAACAATGTCTACATGCTGTCTCCTAATGCCAGTGTGTGTCTGTGAGTCCTGCTGGCTGTCAGAGCCCTGAGTGGGCAGGGGTGAGGTGCAGGGCCCTCTAGGTGGTGCTCCCTGAGTCTGCCAGATATCTGAGGCTGTGGACGCCCCAGGCTGGGCTCTCACTTTAACCTCACATCAGCCTCCAGCGTGCCTAGGTCCCAGTTCTGGTCTGGCTCTGTTACTGCGTCAGGGCCACCTTCTGGGTTAGGGCCACCTCCTCCTCGCTGGCTCTCCTAGCCTGCCCTGAGGAATCAGTGGGAGTGTGGGGTGACCTGTGCCCAATGTCTCCTACTGCCCCTAAAGGAAAACTGCCTGGCTTCATCCACCTGAAGCCCTGCATGGCTCCATTGTCCCCCTCACACTTTGTTCCATCTTCACCACACTGTCCCAGTGTACTCTCCGTGCTCTGCTGCCCACTGAGGGCCAGTGGTGAGAACACTTGGTGAGTCTGCTGCATTCACGGCTGTGCTTACCTGCCCTAGGTACTCACCGCTGGCTGAGCAGTTCTCCCACCAGTTCCCAGCTCATGACCTGCCATCTGTACTCGCCAAGTTCTCCTTGCCCGTATCCTTGTCGGAATTTAGGAACCCTCTGGCCCCCCCTGTGCAAGAGGTGAGTCGCAGAAACTCCAGAAGCCTGATGTGCTGGTTATGCGGTGGATTGGGCACTACCTACCCGGCTCTTGGTTCTGACCCAAGAACCCTTAGCACTGCCACTCCCTCACCTTAGGAGGCTTGCTATGCAGGTGGGGCATGCCCTGCCAGGATGACCTGAAACCCGGCTGCCAGGCCACCTGTGGACACTTGGCTAGTGACCTAATACTTGGGCAGTCCCCTCCTCATGGAGTCCACCCTTGCTGCAGTGGGCAATTCTTAGGGTTAGAACTGAGTTAAGCTCAGCAGGAGAATGCTGACCTTGGCTGGGTCCACCAAACCACATTTGCCCCCTCTGGGCCTGGGGATTTCCCATAGACAGAGGTTGCAGAGTGAGCCTGGGTCCAGCCATGTTCAGGTGGCCACAGGATCTGTGGGTATGAGCCCTGGTCCCCAGAATCTCTTCATCCAAGAGGGCTTGGAGAGGAGGACCAGCCTGGGACAGTGTCCGCCCAGTGGGGCCTGAGTTGTTATAAGGGGCAGGCAGGTGGGAGGCTGGGTGTGGCTGGGGGAGGGAAGGCCTCCTGCAGGAGTGTGGGATGAGAGCTAGTGAGTCAGCGTCTATGGCAGGGTCTATGGCAGGGTCGGTGGCTTCCCCAGTGGGCTGTGGGTGTCACTTTTTCACAGCCTCATGTCAAGGTGGCTATAGGAGCCAAGGCAACTTTGCACCCTCTCCTCTGCTGAGCGCCTACAGCTCGGGGTGGGAACCCAGGGCAGACCCAGATGGGATAGGTGTCAGAGACAGATGAGCTGAGTGTTCTCAAGGCTTGTCTCAAAAAAGTAAAGTATTTAATTTAATAAGTGCCAGATCTATTTGGCAAAACCAGTCCTTAAAATCAAACCTTTTGCCTTCTCAAATTGTGAATACGATCCTGGTTTTCCAGCTCCTTTAGACGCTGAGCCCGACAAGAGTTCTCAATGCAGTCTTTCATGGAGCCTTTGGTTTCTGGGAACTGTGCCAGGTTGTACCAGCTGAGTAAAAGGCACACGCTGCTTCTCCCTGCCCTCCTCCTGGGGCAGTGCTTGGGGAGGGGCTGCTAATGCTCCCATCCCAGCAGAAGACTTCCAGTGGCCTAGACAATAGGGTGGATTTTCCAGGCCTGACTGACTGGCTGCCCCAGGCCTTGTCAAGGGGCCCAGATGGAGCCAGGTTTGGATCTATCCGGTTCTGAGGACATGCTTTCCAGTGCTGTGAAGCCCCTTTGTTCTATTTTTTGATTCCATGTTAAATCTAGATATTTTGCAATCCTTTAGAAATGTATTTGCTTTTTGACCAAGTCACACATGCCTATGGTACCTCCCTTGTTCCCATCCCCAGTCCCAGCCCCCTCCCAGGAGGTAACCCTGGCCAGCAGTTCCTTGTGGACCCTCCCAAAGATGAGCAGACCAGTGTGTGGATCTGAGGACATTGATGCCATCACGTATTCCTTGCTACTTGACCAAATCTTTGTCTGGGAGGTGCTTTCTCAATGAGGCTGGATTTCACCCAGCACATGGCTCCTCACTGCTCATGGTCAGGTGCCAGTTCTACCTGCTAACCCAGAGACACTAGAGGGCCTGGCCTGGACATGCCTTCTGATGGAAAGGGGAGGGTGGCTCTACCCTGAGCACAGGGTCCCTGTCCCCAGCTTCCTTCCAGAACCACCTGTGTGCCCAGGGTGAACTTTCAGCTTGATCCAAGGAGAGTACTTTCTGCTCTCAGGGCATCTGCCCACAGCCTCCTTCTGAACAGTGTCTGGGCTTGTCCAGTAATGGACCAGTTGGCCGGGTCCACCTGCAGGGCACAGTGGGCTTCAGGCAAGGAAGGCAGAGCAGGGGTGGTCCAGCAGCACAGTGTGGGAGGTCAGCCCAGAAAAGGGAATGCAGGAGCCTCCACATCACAGGTCCTGCTCCTCAGCCAGACACAGGGCAGCCCAGGTGTGTGGCAGGTGCTGGTGTAGGTGTGATATGGGTGTTCTCTGGGACCCTTCCTTTCCCTGGAGGGCTAGTTGGCCTTGGAGGGCTGCCCAGCATCTGGGGTTCCTTTCTGGGGTGAGGACCCTTCCTGCCTGGGCATCAGCAACACAGCACATGCTGTGGCTGTGTCTAGAGCCATGGCCCCTGATCCCAGGATGGAGGCTGGGGTGGGGGAGCCAGCCTCACCTGCGGTCACTCCACAGACTCAGCTCATCCAGATGGTGGTGTGGATGCTGCAGCGCCGACTACTCATTCAGCTGCACACCTATGTCTGCCTGATGGCATCGCCCAGTGAGGAGGAGCCCCGGCCGCGAGAGGACGACATGCTCTTCACTGCCCGGGTTGGCGGCCGCAGCCTCAGCACGCCCAACGCCCTCAGCTTTGGCTCCCCAAGTAGGGCCCCCTGGGGCATCTAGCTCACAGTGGGGAGACACCTGGGGGTGATGGGCCCTGCCAGAAGGGATGAGGGGACCCTACATGGTTGTGCACACATGCACACGCCACCCCTTGAGTCCTTCATGGAGACCTTCCCATCTCTCCTGCACCACCACCTGGGGCTCTGCCTCTAGGCCCTTCAGCAGAGCTTGCTGGAGTCAGGAGCAGCCCCAGCCTACTACAGCACTACTGGAATCCCTGCTCTAGCCTGGGATCAGAACAGGGTTTCACACCATCACCAGGAGGATGACTGACACCCTTGTGCTTGAGACCCTCTGAGGAGATAGCTACGGTCACTGTCACTTCTTGGAAGAGCTGTTGTGTCCAGTATGCCTGGAGGGCAGCAGCTCATTGCCTTGTCTCAGGCCCCCAGGCTTGGGAAAGGAAGGGGCTGGAAGACTTTGAAAAGTCCTTCCCTAACTAAGGACTGGTCTTGGGTTTCAAGCTTGATGCTTCATCCCTTGTACTGGGTGAGGGCAAAGGTACCCAGGCCTGCCTTGGGGTGTGGGCGGCACACATTGCCCCTCTGTTCTGGGCCCTTGGGGCTGCTCCCAGAGGCCCCTTGTGTTCCAGATCAGCCATATGGAGGGTGTGTTTTGCGCCCAGAGAATGGAGCAGCAGTGAGAGCAGGGATGGGAGGGCAGATGGTACAGCTGTGGCACCAGGTGGGGCCCTTGTGGGAGTTGGGGATGTCTTTAGGCAGGGGACTGGCTATTGGCTCTGCCCTCACTGTTTTCCTGAGCATCTTGGAATTCTACCTGGTGCTAGTGTCACCCTGACCCGTGCTCACCCACAGCCAGCAGCGACGACATGACCCTCACTAGCCCCAGCATGGATAACTCCAGCGCGGAGCTGCTCCCCAGCGGAGACTCACCACTGAACAAGAGGATGACAGAGAACCTGCTGGCCAGCCTGTCAGAGCACGAGCGAGCGGCTATTCTCAGCGTGCCTGCAGCCCAGAACCCTGAGGACCTCCGCATGTTTGCCAGGTGGGCTTGGGTGACTGTGTAGAGGCAGGGCCAATCACAGCGTTAGGACAGAAAGCGGATGGGGATGTCCCCAATAGCACCACACGTTTATTTTTTTATTTTATTTTTTGAGTTGGAGTCTCACTCTGTCGCCCAAACTGGAGTGCAGTGGCCGCTCCCGGCCACCGCAGCCTCGACCTGCTAGGCTCCAGCGATC